CTGTTTACATGCCCACCGGCAGCACCATTTCATTCTCTTTCTGTAAGAATATGTTGTCCTCACTGTAATATCTTTGCCATTCAGCGGAGTGGAATGTGACTTGTGTAACAAGATGTTAACATGGAAATCCACCCACATTGTTAAAGCTACACTGCAGTGAAATATGAATGATCACAAGTACTTGCTTTTAGCTCACACTGAGCATATTAAAGGCAACATAGTGAGTTGAGGACAGAGTTTGTAACTGTTTGGATGGGGGTGTGTGTTGCTCCCACCAGCTTCAAGAGAAGGAGCCTGGGGTGCCTGTCCCTCAGCTCCTGTCCAGTGAGAGCCTTCAAAGGACTGCTGAGAGTGCTTGACAGCTGTCATCTGTCAAGTGTGGGAACACAATAGACCATGAAGCTCCAGGCCATGGAATTAGAGAGGGCAAATGGGCAAGGGTTAAACCATGAATTGAAAAGTTAAAAAGGAGATGGATATGCTCTGTGGTCCTCATTCAAGGCAAAGAATGAGTGAATACTTCCTTAGGCATGGTCTAAGGCTGATGTAAGAGACCGTCTTGTCCTAGAGGGCAGCCTGGAAAGACACAGCGTCCTACGCACATACAGCCTTACAACCCAAGGCTCATAGCAATGGTCACTGTTCATAAGGACACTGCAGCGAGAGGGATGAGAGTGGAAGCATTTTCCATAGAATCCACAAACCATTACCCGGAAAAAGTACAGACTTCAAGTCTCTGTGAAGTCTACAGACAGATCAACATGGTGCTATCTATCAAGCCAGAAGGCAAATCACCTGTGTAAATAGTGAGCAAAGACCTGAGTAGACATTTCTCAAAAGAAGACACACAGATGCCCAGAAGATATATTGAATGCTGCTTAGCATCATTCATCTTTGGTGCATGCAAATTAGAGCCATACTGAGATAGCACCTCACAACTCTTAAGAATAACTTTCATCAAAAAGGGGAAAAAGAAGTGTTTGACAAAAATGTTAAGAAAACCAAACCCCTTATACAATATTGGTGGGAATACAAATTAGTGCAGCCATTATGGAAAACAGTAGAACGGTACTTCAAACAATTAAAAGGAGAACTGCTATATGGCCCAGCAATTCTTCTGCTGGGTATTACCCAAAGGGATTGAAGTCAGTATGTCAAAGAGATATCTCCTTTTCATATTCACTGCAGCATCATTCCCAATAATGAAGATAATGGCATCAACCTAAGTATCAATGGATGAATGGATAAAAAAATGTGGCATACATACACAAGGGAATACTATTTGGCCATTAAAAACGATGAATTTCTGTTATATTCAATAACATGGATAAACCTGGTGGATATTATGTTAAGTGAGACAAGACAGACTTAGAAGACAGATATTACATGATCTCAATCCTATGTGGAACCTGAAAAAGGAAAAATTGTAGGAAAAAAACCCCAGCTGATCTCCTAGAAGTAAAAAATGGAATAAAAGTTAAAGAGGTTGTGGGCAAGGATCAGAAAATAGGAAGACATTGGTTAGAAGGTGTAATGTTTTAATTACAAGGAGGCAGTTCTGCAGATCTAATCTACAGCATTGTGACAACAGTTAACATGCATTCTTAAAAACTGTTAAGAGAGTAGATTTTAAATGTTCTCATTACAAAACATGACCAGGATATAAGGTGGTGGATATGTTAGTCATTTTTATTTACTCATTCCATGGTGAATACATACATCCAAGTATAACATTGTACAACATAAATATATACACTTTTATTTGTCAATTTAAAAAATAAATAGAAATTAGTTCAGTTACCTACCAGATTTAACCTCTTATTTGCAAAATCTGTTTCAAGTTATGAATCAAATATCATAAGAATCTATTCCAATGAAGAAAAAAATGCTGTGCTTTCCTCTCTTTTATCCATTTACTCCAACCCCAGAAGGATTAGAAGCCTTATTTAGTGGTCCCTGGGGAAGGAGGAACAGAAAAGCCAGGTGGAGAAAGAAGCCACCTATGCTTCTGTCCCCCACAAGGTGGGTAGAGGAGAAGACCCCAACCTTAAACCAAGCCTGGAGTTCTGTTTGGAGTTTCTTACTTCAGATGGACATTTGCAGCAACTCTGCACTCTTTGAACTGCCCAAGAATGAACAACAAAATTGAAGAAGAAATTGCCTGAATTTTTAAATTCAAGAAGAGAGGAAGAATTATCCCACAGAATAAACATTACAAAACTTTTTAAAATAGAGTTGGATTGTGACAGATAAGTTTCATTTGCATTCCTTGGGTTATATGTTGGGTATCTCATGTTTTTTCCATACTTGGGTATTGGGATCTTGGTGATGTTCTTGCTGATTTGTGTGGTATGATACTAAAACACTTTTAATGTGACATCAACATTTTCCCAGGGACTGCTACACCTCATAGCCTTATGAAATTAAAGAAAATACCTAATATCAGCATTCACTTTCTATCCAATTTTTATTCAATTAGAGATGTGATATAGAAACTCTGACTTTTCCATCCAAATTCTAAGTTGCCCTTGAATCAAATTCTATACTTTCATCATTTAAGCAGGAGTAGCACATTAGCACTTTTCAAGCTTTCTTTTACACAGTGGCAGAACCTCTTGTGAAATTACATGTGTGACCTTACCAAGCTCTCCAAGTTGTATCACTGTGGATCTCCTACTGTAGGGTATATATTTAAACTTGGAATTGAAATGAAGTCCTCAATGATAGGAAATATTTAAAATAGAACCACAGAAATTATTTCTGATTGACATTTTCAGTATTTTGGCAGAGCAGAAAGTATTCAAGGGTTGCATTCTTTGTATCTGGACCTACACCTGACATAACACCATATACAACACTTTCACTGCCCAGATAAGAGTCACTACCAAAACACTGGGCCTCGGCATAGTTTCTTTGCAATTGAATCCTAATTGGATCTTGTATCATCTACTTAGGCCTCCTACCTCATTCACATTTTCCTCTGTCCTGGTGCTTCCTGCTCATAAAAAGTAAAGGTTTTGTCTGTATCAGTCAGCATACTACAACTTTGTCTATGCTCGACTGCTCAGGGAAAGGCCTGACCAAACTGACTTCATCTTTAACAGCATCCAGATTATTCTCTACTCTGCTAAGCTAGATGTTTATCTTTCCCTTTCTTTCTCTTTACCAAAGAGTCTAGTAGGTACCTAAAAACACTTTATCTTTTGAATCAGTTTGACTTCTAAGTAGCTCCTTCTGACAATGTCCTATTCGTTCCTTTATCTAGTCATTTCACTCATTCATTCAACAAATTTTTTGCCCACACTTTTAATGATTTCCTACATAATTTTCTTAGTTACATTGAAGGATACCTATATTATAGAATGCACGATTTCTTTGTGCACACTTTCAAAAAAATAGTTTTCTAAAAAATACCTCTCCCCACTCCTGTCATGAGTTATGAGTTGGCCTACTGAGTTTTAGAAATGTTTTCCAAAAGGGGAATGATGTTGGAAGGAACAAAGATGACCAGAAATGATAAACTGGAAGAGGCACAGTGACAGAGCAGAGCTGGCTGGTGAAGTGCTTAGCAGGGTTTGAGATCTGATTAAAGGTAATTCTATAGGAAAGCTGATTTTTTAAAAAATTAGAGAATTATTTAGGAAGATTTAACCTTTCTCTTATGAGAAGACTCCCTCAACAATATTGCACATATAGGGACAATTTCTTGTAGTACCTGTTGAGGTCATCATATTATTTTATTACAGTTACAAAGACCTCTACAGAAAGAGTTCCTACAGGAGTGAGTGTAAACTATGAACAATTAGAAAATTAACATATTGGTCAGTTTTGGTTTTGAAGTCTGGTTTTTGAAAATTATTAATACTAGTACAAAAGTAAAATAAATGGTAAATCATAGAATGATTGGTTCTGATACCATATCCAAAGTTATTGCCTTTGTAGTTATGTTAGCATCATGCCATGGTACCAGAAACCTTAGAGGTCAGAAATTGAGAAAATAGCACTTGCATTTGCACTGTCTGTGCATCATTTTTCCTCAGGCATACTCATTTGACTTCTTTATCCAAAACTAAGGCAAATACAGGTTAGTGCAAAGGTGGTTTTCATAAGCATCCCCACAGAGCTAGCCTTGCAAAGAAGTAATATTTAACATACCTTAAGCAGTGGATTTACTCAGCATTTAAGTTCAGATTGAATTTCATTGACCCAGATATCATTTAATAAAAAAAGATAAGAATATTCTAGAAATTGGAACTCTACCAGAAGACCCTGTGTGTCTTGATATCAGAAGTCACGAGGGTACCCTGAAGTAACTAAGGGAAGGTATTCGATGGCATTGCTGCTGTCACCATCCTCTCCTCTCAAAGCTGCTACCAGGATGGCCTTTATCTGATAGCCATGGGGACCAATTCTAGGAAAGTGGAGTGAGGGGAGGGTATTTTAGCTAGCTGAGATGTTTTGTTGTCCTTTACTTCTAGCAACAAAACAACTGACTGATTACTTGCTCTTGTGAAAGGAAGCAGCAAAGATGTCAAGAAACCATTAACTGACATTAGCAAGTCCTCAAAGCTGACAGCAGACTCTAAAAGCAATTGAGTATGCCGATAATGACTCCTTCTTCATACAACTCCCTTTCAAGAAATAGTTTCACTGGTGTATCTAGATTTTTACATTTAACCAATGTCCTTTTTATGAGGTTTTATCCCAACTTATTTGCTCAGGATGCTAAAATTACAACAACCATGTAAAGAAGTGGTTGCCAGGTTGTTTAACATGTCCATTTACTATGCCATCATAATGCTACTGTTTGAATGTCAATAATACTGTTCCATAATTATTTATTTACTTTTGTCTTTAAAAGGCACCATTTTGTATGGAATAAACAATTGCAACTCGGGGAGAAAGTGACAGTTGTCTGTTTGTAGTGCTCTGTTTTTATTTACAGTACCTATGTGTTAGGAAGCTGCCCAAAACGACTGATTTTGATTTTTTCCTTTCAGCTGTTTACCTCTGCAAGAGAACAATGCAAAACAAAGCAAGGCTAGAGCTAGCAGATTATGAAGCTGTAAGTACCAAGGACTTTCTGGCAAAGAAAGGTATAAAATGAAAGGGAATAAGGTCTCTGGTCATCTCTGACCACTCTCTCCATTAACTCTCTGCATTTGTGAATCATAGGGATCAATATCTGTGGACCAGGCAGCCGAATGGCTTAAAAAGTCCTTGTGTGCTTCCTTCCTCTCTTTGTTCGTGTTGAGGATGGTGGAATTCTAAGTACACATTCTCAGTGTAGGAGGGAAAAGCATATCTTATTTTCTGAAACTGACTTAACTGTAATATTTTCAGATAAATATGCCAGTGGCTAGGTGTGGTGGTGCAGGCCTGTCATCCCAGCTACTCAGGAGGCTGAAGCAAAAGAATCACAAGTTTGACTCCAGTCTGGGCAATTTAGCAAGACCCTGTCACAAAATAAAAAAATGAAAAAGGCTGGGAATGTGGCTCAGTGGTAGAAGGTCCTGCATTTACTACCAGTACCACACACACACACTCACACAAGGGAAATATCCAAACAAGGAGAATGAAAATCAGTTTCACCATGTGAACATGGTTTTTGCTAAACCTTCAGGTTGGCTACACCATGGGCAAATGAAACAGTTGGGTGTAATTTGGACACATGGTTGCTGTGTTGTGGTTTGCTGAATTCAAACCACCATGTGGAGGACTGGGCTATAAAAGTTTGCGTGTATTGCCAAGACCTGAATGCACTGATTGAATCATCAGTATGCATGCATCATTTTCCTGTTCCTCCATAAGATGAGCACAGAAAAATCCAGGAGCTTAGTCTTAAGCATTTTCTCATATGGGGTAAATTAAGTATTTAACACATACTGGATTTAATATTTGAGTACACATTGGATTTTAGCTGTGTTCTCTAAGGTAAGTCATTCACAAAAATTAATATGTTATTTGTCTGTATTCCAAGACTGTTATTTCAGTCACCTTTCCCATTGCTGGAAACAAATACCGGGCTTATACAATTTAAAGGATGAAAGGTTTATTTTTGCTCGGAGTTCAGAGGATGTACTTCATGGTCTGCTGATTGCAAGACAGGAACATCGTGGTGGAAAAATAACAGTGGAGAAAAACTGCTTCGTTTGAAGCAGAGTGGAGGGTGGACAGTGCCAGAGAGGCAGGAGCCAGAGACTAGACAGAGCGTCAAGGTCACACCTCCATGACCCACCTAGACACAGCTGCAAGTGGGTTTCCTAAGCCCTCAGCTCTTCAGCCAGTTCTGTCGACGATCCAGTTTAACTGTCACACCTGTTGTAGCTGAATTACTGAGCATGCTTGTCATTTAGAACCAGGCTACACTCAGTGCCTTAGAATTCTGTATTTGTCTTCCTCACAAATCCATGTGGTAAAGAAGCTAGTGGGGAATAGTAAAGACAATCACCGCCATATCTTCACCTGCGGCTTCTCTTTCAGGAGAGCCTGGCCAGACTCCAGAGAGCTTTTGCCCGGAAGTGGGAGTTCATTTTTATGCAAGCGGAAGCTCAAGCAAAGTGAGTCCTTGTGAGTCTTTTGGAAGGATTGTTCACGTTGTGGCCTTTTGCTCAGAGAGACCCTCCACTTAACACTACTTATTCTTGGTCCTTATGATGTTGACAGAGTGGACAAGAAGAGAGACAAAATCGAAAGGAAGATCCTCGATAGCCAAGAGAGAGCGTTCTGGGATGTACACAGACCTGTGGTGAGCAGACACACCCCCGGGCTCCCAAATCCCTCTTCCCAGTTGTGACAGGTGAGGGTGCCGACGAGGGCAAGGGACAGGCTGGGATTCTCCGTCATACATCCCACACTTCCCAGTCAATGCGTTCAGTAAACTTTGCCACTGTCAGTAAGAGGACCGCACTTCAGTAGTGTTGCATTTATAAAACTATGCATCTTTCTTCCATGGCATCACTTGCCCACTGAGTTTTGACATTTGGAGTGCAGGGTGCTGCTCCAAACACTTAAGGAAAAATATTTTAGGGACAAATACTTAAAGGAAAAAGAAAGCAGTTTTTTGTAGCTTACTGTTTACATTTTTGGCCATGTACTGAATGGATAAGTCAAATGTTATTTTTTTTTCTTTTTTTAAAAAAATCTGTTAATCACCTATTGGTGACATTTGCAGACTAATATTTTAAGTGCTTTTGAATTCAAATCTTCTTACTTTTAATGTTGTAGCAGCAGACTTGAATATAGTAATTTTTTTTTCTTCTTTGATAATGTTACATTGTCTCTGTGTGACAAATACTGAGTCCACTTGATCAATTAGTAGCAGAAAACTTCATTGAAAGTTCTAAACCATAGTTATGAGCATCTATAAAGTAGCATGTCTAATCTCATCCATTTATCTCTATTTTGATGCAATGTCTTTTTCTTCTATCAATTTTAAATACAGACAAGGTAGTAGATAACAAGATTTGCATAAATATTACTAGAATAAATAGTAGATTTACAAAGTGAGTGACCAGTCAACAAAAATCCCTTAAGGATACCTAAAAGTTTTCCTGTCAGCTACCTTCCAAGTGAGACTAAAACAGAAAGACTCCAAAGGTTTGTTTGTATATATATTTCTATTTCAAATAGCAACACAATTGTTAATTTCTATTTTAAATTTGCTCTTTTCAATTCTCAAGACAGAATTGAGCACTAACTGGCTTTTCTACTTAAAATTCAGTTTGAGTTTTATTTCTGTATTGAAAAAAGATTATGAAGTCACACACAGCTTTTGCAAGAATATGAAGTAGGATTTTTATTGTGTGCTTGTTTTAAGTAGCCTCTAGAAACCTGTCAACACATCATGTTGCTATGTGTGTCCACATTATGCTTCCTGCATAGCTGGTGGCCCATCTGTAGCCTCACTGAGCTTATGTGACGTGGGCCTTCCTGGTAACCTAGGAGGACTCCCATTTCATCAGCTCCCCTGACTGTCCACTGCCATTCCATACTCAGGCTTTCAGAATGTGAAAACTGGTCGTCAATCACACTCTGCTCCTTCGCCTAAGAATGGCTCATACTTTGTGCACTTCTGGTAGAAACAGAATCTGCCTATGGTTTTTTCTTTCTCTCTAATGGGAGTCAGGCTCCTGTCCCTCCCTCCTTCCCTGCCATCAGAGAAGAGCACAGTGGGTGTCCTCCAAGTCCTTGCCCCGTCCCTTATAAGGCTTACAAGTAGGAGGTCAACCTAAGGAAAACCCATCTTCAGAGGCCAACTGGAAGCCATTAGCTGCATCTCCCTTATTCAACTTGAAGACGCGTATGAGGAGCCTTATATCATCTACCATGAAGATGGTATGCAAAGCTACATTGATCATCTTGCCTGTGTGCCTTTGAGAATGGTATTCACTTAAAACAATGCTACCTTCAGCCATTTCTTTTTCTTACACTTCAGCTCCTTACAGTACTTTAGAAGCATTACCTACTGGCAGATTTAAAGTTTAAATATTTTAAAGTGGTCTCAGATGTTTGTGAAATGCCAACATTTGTCTGAAGGCCATGTCTGTCATGTAGCTTTTTTTGTCTTTGTTTTAGCTTTCTGGGTCCTTAGAGGACCACTTAGTGAAATAAATGATAAAGATGACAAGGACAGGGGCTTCAGTCTCATAAAGCTTTGAATGGCTGTTTCCTCAGTCAAATGCATAAGTTACATCTCTCTTCAGTGTAGTCAATTAATAACAATAAATATTTTCTAAAATAACTGCCCACAAAGTAGAAGTAGCATAGGAAAAAACAGCAATACTTTTAATAATTTCCAGGAGTGTTTATGCACTCTGTTCATCTCTAGAAATAAATTCTGCAGCTGTTGTAATCAACCCTGAATTACTATATTTAGACCTGAAATCCTGTACTGCAGTGTTAAAGTGGAATAAGAATCCTGGTACCTGGGTTTCTTCTTCATAGCCTGTCCTGCTGTGGCAGTCATTGGAAGAATTTTCTGCCCTGTGGTTGTCATCTTGCTAAATTTGAATATCTTCTAGACAGGATCAGTTAAACTAGGTTTTGCGTTCTAAGGGCAAGTTATTTCAACCTGAGAAATGTAGAACCCTAGCCTACTTGCAGGAAAATACAAGACAGGGTCTTCTGTCCAGAGGCTGAGCAGGCATCACCTGGGGCCACTGTTGCATGCCACCCTGCCCTGTGGAGTATAGAGACAGTCCTTTGGTGCCATTGTCCAGCTTTCATCATGTCAGCCATAGGTGAGTAGCCATAGCAGATGGGGAGACATGCAACAGAGTGGGAAGCAGTGGGTTTTGCATCCAGGAAGGTTATGTACTAGGCTGAACTTGTATACAGTAATTATCTATCTTCTGAGATTTAGAAACCTCATTTAGAAAATGGAAATACATCTTCCTTTGCTATGTTATGAACATTCCGTGACATTGGATGTTTAAAAGCAGCTTGCACATTATTGGGCATGTGGATAACAAATGTGTACTTCCTTTTTGAAGGGGCACAAAAGTGTTCCCAAAATGGGTAATGCAAGAAAAATGGAATCTGGCCAGATACAGTAAATGTGACACCTACATGTAATCAGTTTCAAAAATGTCTGTACATCAAACAGAATACAATCAAGGTGAATTACAGCCTTCCTTTATATTCAGATAATATAAGAAAATAATTAAAAACAAAAATAATTCCTGACACCACTTCCCTGCCTCTAGCCTTATAATTCCATTCTTTCTTTTGGGGGGTACCTTGTGTGAAATGACTGACTTGACCTAAGACTGAGGTGGTTATCATGGGGCTGATGGCTAAGTATTAGCTCTCTCTCTCTTACTCTCTCTTACTCTCTCTTACTCTCTCTTTCTCTCTCTCTCTCTCTCTTTCTCTGGCTTTATTTTTGAGTTCTTCAGTTTTATTTATGTTTGTATTTTTAGGTGGGCCTTTATTTTGGAACTGGGACTTTGCCCCCTAGGTTGAGCCAATGCCAGAATTACCACAATGGCCTTTCTTGGTGTTTATCAACTGGTGTACCTTTAATGAGTGCAACCATGTTGACCCTTTAAAAGGATGTCCTAAGGAACTTCTTGAGCTGTATAAGGATGTTTGTCCTCAGTTTTTAAATTTAAGTGTATCAGTACTGGAGCCACTTTCCAATGCAATGATTAATCCTTGTTTCCTTGAAAATCTGAATTGAAACTCCCGAAACAGAGCGTGTCACCCTTCCCATAACATGCATTATCATGTAGCAATACCATTTACTCTGGATTAGTATGATCCAGCTGTTATAGTATGGTCTAGCATTGAAAATGATTAAAACACAGTCCTTATTCCTAAAACTCACAGTCCAGTGGAAACATTTTATGGGCATAGTCACCAACACATCATGAGATATGGGTGACTCTGCCAATTGCTCTGGGAAGAGATACAGCTCATCATGGGTGCTTATATGACTTGGCCATGTACACAGTTGCTGGTAGTGAAGCAAGAGTTAAAGGCAAGAAGTATTGTGGCTCCAGGCAGAGGAAGTGGCTGCAGAAAGAATGACTTTGTAGCTGTATGCATTCATCCTTCACAAGGGAGTCATAGATACTTATCTATATTCCGTCAATGATGTATCTGTTTATAGGTACGCTGTGACATAATTTGCTTCTGGTTTTGAAGTATCCTTTCCATTCCTTTGGCAATTCTCAAAAGCCCAGACTTCAGCACATCTTTCAAGCGTTATAGGCTCTGACCTGGAGGTACCCAACTACCTTCAGGCAGTTCCTGTCAGGGGAGGTTATATACTATGCACGCTAATGTAAAAGCTTCCTAAAACTTAGAACTATCTAAAATCTTTGCCAACATCAAACAACAGAAGAGATAAATTCAGGTAGAGATTGGAAATAATGATACAGAAATAGAGCTGAGAAAAGGCAGTAATTGGGTAGAGAATAAGTTAGTAATGTTTATAGAGTTCCTCCTGGCATTGACTGAGAATTAGATCACCATCTTTTTTTACCCCAAGTCATTAGTTTAGGGATGAATAATAAATATTCAGTGAAGACTTCATGAATAAAAATACTTAAGAGAAACTGAAATATCTTTCATCCAAATGTTCCAAATAAAAAAATAATAATTATCTAGCTCTTCTTGATTTCAAATCAAGCAAATACTAATTGCAAAATTATGAAAATAGGTGATTTACTTATGCCTTCCTTATCCAATGCTTATATATCATCTGTATTAGCATTTTATATTGGTTTCACTGGGATTCCTCAGAACACTAATATTGAAATCTGTTGGACTGTGATCTTTTGAAGAGCAGATGTTCTATCTAAAATTCCCTAAAACTAAACATAGTGTTTTGTAGACCACAACATAATGAAAAATTTGGAATTTGAGTAAATGAGGAAGTGGTAGAAATATGAGATTTTCAAACGATTTTGCTAACATTGAAGGTAGGTTTGTTTGAGAGCATCTTGAATAGGACAAAAAGACATCAGGAGGGGAGAGAGCTTGTCAGTAGTTATAGATATAGTACCAAGCATGTGCAGGATATTTTGAGATATAGAACTAATTTTGAAACTAAGTTAAAGGTAACCAAGCCCTGATGCAGGACCTGTTTGTCAGAAGAAAGCTAGAAGGTCAAGAAAAATTTGGTGGCCATAGGATATCATCTTCCTTCCTCCTTGATGATAGTTCCATAACTCCGGTAAAAGTGTTTAAACTCCCTACATATCTTTCTTTTTTCTTCAAATAAATCAATATGGAATATTC